ACAGATAGATTAATTGATAAAGTAATTATAAAATAGGAGAAAAAAAACAAAAATCAATAAATTTTTGTTTTACTATAGATATTAATTTAACAGTAAAATCTCTATTAGTGAACAATTTTTTGCAGTCCCTTTTGCTAAATAGAACCTATTGAATTTAAATATGTTTTTTTTCTTGATCTCTTTCTCTATTCTGTCACCTATTTCATATGCACTACGAGTACGGATATTTTGTGTATGATTCGACTGTTGAACATATAAAGGAAAGAACAATATCATGATACGAGTTTACTTTCTCAAGAAAAAACAAATTGACTAGAAAAATATAATATATCACTAAATTCTATTTCAAATATTTTAAAACATAAAACAAATCAAAATAAAAGTGTTAGAGGAGAAATAGAAGATATGAATGTATAAAAACTAGACGATCGAGTATATGAATGATTTCTATAGAAAGACAAAGAAAACATAGTTCAAAAACAAAAAGACACACAGTATAAGAAAATTCTTGTTTAAAAACAATAAAATATTGTTTTGTACTTGAAAAATCTTTCAATTCAAATCATTCAGATGACAATAGATAAAAAAAGAGAATAAATAATAAAATCTTTATCTATGACTAATATAGAAGTAGATTTTCTGAAATCTATTCTTCATTTCACAACAAATTATGTTTCAACTCTTTAAAGTGAATACCTTTGTATAGTGAACAATTTTGAATAGTTCCAATCATATTCATAATAAAGAGATTTTACTGTATAAGTAATTTTTTTGTCGTCAAAATCTTTTCCAATTCAATAGAAGAAGTAAAATTGGCAAATATAAAAAGAAATCTCTGATATCAATATGATCTCTTAAACTTAAAACATCAGCAGGATACAACTGCATATCAAACGATATGTTGAAGTTATTTCTTTATGGATATGTACAATGTCTTTGCAATAATTTTAACCTTTGACTAAAAGCATGTAAATTTCTCCAATGAATGGAAAGTAGTTAAGGTTATGACAGGAGGTAGTACACAGCATTAATATTGAAACTAAATCAATTAAATATATCAAAGGAACTATTGAAAATGATATAGTCTTAGTTGTCAATACAAAAAAAGTACAGATCCGAATTACCCCTCGGGTCTGTATTTGTAGTCTATGATGAAAATAATACTAAAGAGTTTTCTATATCAATTGGACTATCTTAAGAAAGTAGCCTAAGTTAATATTTATCTATAGTAATTCATTCGTATCTTGTACAGCTTATACAAGGTTTTTCGATTCATGTAGTTGTTGACAACCTAAATATGTTCATTAGAGCATCAATAGAAAAGAAATTTGAGTTCATGTTATAGTTTCTGAAACACGAAGATATTAGAATATGCAATAAATTTTTAGAATATGTTAGGAGATAGAAACAACTGATAAACATCTCTAAATTAGTTTATCAAACATGTCACACACAAGTTAATCTACGCTCTCTAACAGTATTAATGAACGATGTTCCAGTCATGTATATGTGTGTGTGTGTGAACGACTAAATTGTCCATGCTCAAATTGTTTAGAAAAGATTCAACAATCATACACAAAACTGAAATGGTTGAAACATAGTAGAATCATTTTCATTAGTCTATTTAGATAATGCTTTTTCCACATATTCATTCTTATTTTTTATTTGACTTTTCTACCTTTTTTGTCCTTTCTTCAGTATACTCAACAAGAATTGCTTCGACAAAACTTTAGAGTATGTCTAAGATTAATCCATCGATATCTATAGGTAGTTGCAGATTGAGAGTTGCTTTTCTTTACCAATGAAAAAGATTTAGATTATTATGTTAAAAATTATATCAGAAAAAGAGTTTCAAAAAAACATCTCTAAATCAAATCTTTCAACTTTATTCTTCTTCAATGATATTTCATTCTAGAGTGAATTAAAAAAAAATCAAAAAAGAAATATAAATATTTGTTAGAAATATGATTAAAAGTTAATAAAAATAATTAAACAAATAAATCATATCAACAAATGATACCATACACACTGATCTTGCTTTTTTTTCAACTTCTCTTATCTAATTTTCTCTCTCGATGTCATTAACATTATATTATCGTATTTTTCTCCTTTTATTTCTTTTTTTGTTTCTAACCTGTCTCTGAGCACCCTATAACATCACAAATACAAAAAAAACCATGCATAATCAAAAAAATAATAATTTTATTTTTCATAGGTATTTTTTTCTTCAAAATCAAGAAAAACTTGAATTTTTTATTTCTATTGAATTTATAATGAAGTCAAGTCTTAAAGATAAGAATATATTAATCTCATCGATTTGAATTTTAATTTGTCTAAATTGATAAAAAATAAATTTTTAATGTTTCATAATTAGTTCAATAGCAATAGAATTATTGATACTTTATAGATAAGATATATTCATTTGCTTTTTTTTTTTAAATATATTTTTAGCTTGTTGGTCATTTTATTGAACCACATTGTCTTAATCCAACATTTCTTTGTGATCATCCACAAATCATGAGTCCATTGGCAAAATAGTATGAAAAATTTTCTTGTTCTATTTTCTATAAACATGATTATCTCATTTTATCAATATTTTATTATATTTGTTTTCTTTTGTCATGCTTATTTTAGTCATCGTTCTATACCTAGTTTAACAGAACGTTTTGAATTATTTGTTTGTTATAAAGAATTATGTAATTCATATACTGAATTGAATGATCCAATTGTACAACGTGAAATGTTTGAATTACAAGCAAAAGTAAATATTATTATTTTTTTAAAACTTGAACAATTAATTTTGATAAATAATAAATAATAAATAATTTTTATTTTTTTTTAAGAATAAACTAGTTGGTGATGAAGAAGCTCAAATAATTGATGAAAATTATTGTAAAGCACTTGAATATGGTTTACCTCCAACTGGAGGTTGGGGTATAGGAATTTATCGCTTAACAATGATTTTAACAAATAGTAACAATATTAAAGTAAGTTATATATAATTTATCAGTTATTTATTATTAATATAAATATAAATACAATAGCAATCAAAATTATCTTGTTTTTTTTTTTTGATAAAAGCATATTAATCATACTATTCTTTCATTATGATTTTCTTTGAAATTATCATATATATTCTACTTCTAATAAATCATTTTTGTTTTTACATTTTCATATTTGATCATAAAAATTTTACAAATTCAATCTAGAAATAATATTTTTCTTCATTTGAAATTTTCAAATTATGATTTTCCTTTTACTAGATTTATAATTATTCAAAATATAGTTTAGAATCTAGTTCAATTGTAATGAAAAATCGAATCATAATAGATCCATCTAATAGGGATATACATCTTTGTCTAATGACTAGAAAAAAGTTCTTTAGGACTTGAATTCGAATTCAAACCATTTTTTTTTCTTTAACTTAGACTTTGATTCCAATTTTTTTTTTATTTCAAGTAATAAATCTCTTTTCAATTTAGATTTTATATGTATAAAGTAAATCCTAATAAGATATAAAAAGTTCGAAACTTCACGAAATATTAAAAGAAAACATTTTCTTTTTTTTTTTAAATGAAAATTTTCAAGACATTCTAATCATAAATAGATCTATTTGTGGATCAAATTTCAGGTCAGAGTACTATCATTCAATTTGTTTGTACATACGGTGTTATAATTTTCAATTTATATAAAATTGTGCTAATTCTTGAGATAAGATCTAAGAATATTCACTTTTTTCGAGCTTTTCATATCTCACTAGAGTTTACTTTATACATAGAATCTGAATTGAAAAATGATTTATCACTTGAAATAACTCTTTCCTAAAATAGATCATGAACAAATCATTTCAATGTGTAATAACAAATAATCTTCTAAAGATCATCAAAGAGAATGTTGTTTGAAAAGTTGTTTTTTTTTTTGAATTATTGAAACTTATTTGAAAAGATATCATTTATAAGAAAATTTACAAATCCAATTACAAATATCAAAAGAAATCAAACTTGAAATAGATTTGACATGTTCTTCTTTTTTTTTCTCAGACTTGTACTCTGACTTGAAACCTTCGAACTCATCATCTACGTCTAATATTGACATATTATTACTAAAACTACAGTGAAATATGTGATATTTTTTGTTGTAAAACTTGAATAATTAACAATAGAAAGATGAATTATGTTTGATATGTTCATGTTTAAACATACGATCTTCTCTTATTTATGAAGATTTTTAGATTTTCTAGTTAGAAATACATATTCTCATGGAGTTCAATCATATTTACATTGACTTTTGTCATCTATTTTGAAATTCTATTTAAATGAAAAAATAACAAACATGAGAAGATTTTATATTTATCATCTTAAAATTAGTTATGAAATGTTAACATCATAGTATTCTTCACATTAATATTATTCATTGAATTTTTTTTTGAATCCTTTTATAGTCATTTTTATAACAAATAAAAGTGTTCAAACAAGATTTTCATTATTAACTATATAGTACAATTCATATAGACTATATAACTCCTGTTGCAAAAGTCTTGAGACAAAATGTTTGTTCAACTTTCGGTCACTTAGAAAGAAGTTGAGAAAATGAAAAGTAGTCAGTTAGAATCGGAATTTGGTGCTCTCTCTAAATATGTATTCAGAATTCTTTTTCTGGCTAGAAATTGATTTATTGAGAGCAAATCTTTGATGGAGACCAAAAAT